AGACCTCGCCACACTCTTCTTCGACCATGTTGCTCGCCATCACGGCCTCCCCGAGAACATCATCAGTGATCGTGATCCTCGCTTCCTCTCACGATTCTGGAAACACCTCTTCATGGCCTACAGAACCACGCTCAAGTATAGCACTGCATTCCACCCACAGACCGATGGACAAACAGAGAAGATGAACGATACACTCCAAAGAATCCTGCGAAAGTATTGTCATCCACACCAACACGATTGGGATCAGTTGCTCACAGCCGCCGAGATTGCCTACAACAATGCTGTCTGCCCCTCCACTGGCATGTCCCCTTTCTACCTCGACCTTGGCTACCATCCCCACTTGCCCTCTGATTTCTTGCTTCCCTCGCAGCTCAGCCCTCCACCCCCTGCCCCTCTCTCAATGAATGGATAGCAACAATGAACAGACTCCTCAGAGAAGCAACCGAAGCCCTTGAAAGAACACAAGAACAACAAGCCAACAAGACTAACAAACACATACGTGACGTGTCATTCAAAGCTGGGGACAAAGTCTGGCTTTTTGCTAAACGCTTGAACCCGAACAAGGCTTGTCCAAGAAACTCTCGAACAAGTGGCTCGGTCCCTTCCCCATCATTGAACAAACCTCCCCCGTCAACTACAAACTCCAACTTCCCCTTGACACGAGTCGTGTCCACCCAGTCTTCCATGCCGAGTACCTAAAAGAATACCATGAATCTCCGCTCCAGTTCGCCGACCGCCCATATCCTAGACCTCCACCAATCATGCTACCCACAGACCGTAAATTCGTTGTCGAAACCATCATCGACCGACGAACCACTCAGGTATCTGATCATCCGGAACCAATCACTGAATACAAAGTCAAATGGACCGGATACCCCGATGAAGAATCTACATGGGAACCTCTCTCTAAACTTAAGAACGCCATGAAACTTGTCCCCGCCTATGATCGTGCTAATCCTACGTCCTAGATACCTACATCACTATGGCATAAACCCCCGCTAAAAACCCTTGCAACCCTGCTCTACACACACCCTTGAACCCAGTCCACCCTTCCCTTGATCCTCATTCATGATGTCTGATCTGCCCTTGCCCTCGCCTAGCCTTGTCCCATCTGTCCTCTCCACTACCTTGTCTCTCTTGTCCAATGCTTGTGAACTTGCGTGACGCCGGCGATAAAGGATCTAATGGCAAGCGCACGAGGACGATGGCCTGCTGCCTCACTGTTCATGGAGATTATGCAGCTGGTTTGGCCACCATGCTGTTTCATTGACTGGCATCCCGACTCGCGGACTTACTGGAGCAGCAACTTGTGACATGGATCTTTGCATCAGTCTGTGACTTCCTTGCTTCGAGATCAGACCTCATTGCAGTTCGTGTACCGGACGCACCCTAGCACTTGGACTTTGACACTTGAACTACGACTACGCTTCTTGGACTTCTACCTATCGCA